ACTTTGTTGCATCTAAAAGAAGGCTCTGATTTTAATACAGAGACCACTTGGGCCATGAACTTCACTGTCAGTACAGTGAGCTTTAAAATGCGTGAAGAGCAACAAACACACATTGCTTTCTTCTACTGAAATTACCAAACCTTATCAAAGTGTTCCTGATGGACAGAGATCTCTTATAGGTCTTTAAAATTTGAGGATATAACCAAACCACTGAGAATCATCCTTAAATACACTGATGAAAGAAAAGCTCATAGTCCGAATGCCCCCAAAGGCTAGATACACTGTTAAGGATGATAATGTGAGCTTCCTCACAGCAACCTGGCAATGACCTCTGCTTTGACCTGTAGAGAGCAATGTCTCAAGAGGTAAAATACAATTTAGTCCTTTATTCTTCATAACTGAAATTATTCCAGTGCCATAAATTCTAATCAAGGCACTCCAATTTAAAAACAAACAAACAACAACAAAAAAAGAAAAATATAACATATGTTTCTTTACAGAGTAATACAAGGGATCTACTAACAAAACATAATCAGCTAGAAACAACTTCTACCCTGTTTCTCTGCAGCATGTATGGCTATACATAAAGATGCACACAGTTCTGAAACATGGGTAACAAAATGGGAAAGGAAAATAAAAATCCTAAAGCCAACACAGGGGTTTGAAAACAAAACCTTGTTTATGTAAATGTGTCCAGATTCATTTAACTCCCATAACCCTGCTCCATATTTCAAGCATACACAGCATTATGAAAAGATCAAAAGTCTGCTAATGAACCAAAGAAAACCAGAGTCTTCAGATCCAACCAAGGAATTCTAAGATTTAATTTCACTGGAACAAAACCTTGCCAGCAAAGTGAAAAAAAAAAAAAAGGTTAGCAGTCAATTTTTTTTGCTGTCCAGCAATAATTAAATAGGAAACACTTGTGCTCCACAATTATAGGCTTGGTATTGCCCTCACTATATACTTACAGCTTTATTTATTTTGATAAGTTCGATGCATAGAGACTCAATCTCAAAGAGCAACTTTTTATAATACAGTAAAATTACCTTAACATCAGTGCAAGTGCACTCCCAGCATTTTTTAACCATCTATGGTTATATAACTAATTATGCCACAAATTACCATCAATAAAGGATTAATTAAGGACTGGATGTAACTCCAGGAAAGTCAGACTGAGTCCACAGGGGTTTTTGATGCTCGGACTAGCCACTTTGTTCTCGGGATTTTTACTGTACAGAGAATTTTATATACGGCATGCCCCTGGTGTCTATACTAACTTTTTAATCTCAACAGTTTATTACACAGATAAACATGAAAGGAGTTCTTCTTATTCTAAGGGTTTTTCAAAGAATACTTCATAACTTATACTAAACCTGTTTGAAAATATAGTATAAAACGGCAACTAGGATTCATTAATTTAGGATCAAATCCCAGGGTTCTTAATCAAGAGAAAATACTACTTAACGTTAACAAAAGCTTTCTGTAGTTAGCACCGTGGCATTTGACCTGGGTTACTACTTTGAAGCATATTGCAGAGTAAGACAAGTTGATTGGAAAATGACACCATCTGGAATGTCAAGAGCCAGACTCAGTTTTTCTGTTTCTTAATTACATCCTATGGTTAAAATAGGAGATATTACTTCACAAATATTTTAAAGATTAAATAATACACTGCAAGATCTCCTACAAAGCAACTTTGCTTCACACTGTACAGCAAAACTGCAATTCCTGTAACCAAAGCACTGTAGCTGTGCTAACTACACATTTCAAAACTGTGCTTCTGAGTTAGTATGTTTCAAGATAAAGTCCTTTACCAATATTTTGCACTTCAGAAAGTATTACTGACCATTTTTTCTACTATTTTCTTGTTTCATATGACTTCAGTATCAAAAGTCTTCTGCATGCAGATATGCAGATTCCAAAAAGCCCACTGGTATAAAAGCAGAAGAGGAGGATTACAGACCCCCAGACTGCAGGACAGAATTCTCTTTCAAAAAAAACAAATTAAAAAAAAAACAACAAAACCACAAAAACAAATAAAACAAAGAAACAAACCAAATCACCACCGCCAGGAGAAAGAAAGCCGGCAAACAACAAGCAAGCACAGCCCCTTTAATCACAGCTGCTCCTGTCATTACTCACAGGTAACAACTGCACCACGGTGACAAAGTGCATCTTCCCAAACACCTGTACATCAATTTCAGGTGGGAGCTATTTCAGATCATCAGAAACTACTTATGCTGGTATTTCTCATTTGCTTTGTCACCGATAGCAAAGCACCCAGAAGAGAAACAAAAGTTTACCGCATCTTTTCAAAAATAAGTACAATTAATCGTACTCCTGCCCTTTCCTCACTGGCATCAGGTACCAAAGAAGTGCCATTTTTACAATTAATTGCACTATTTGCTACCAAAATAAAAAATAAATACCCACTGTTTCTATGGCATGCAGTGAAATACCAAAATAAGGAAGTCCGAGAATAAGGAGGTGGATTTTAGGAAAAGGTACAGGTGAGCAATGCAGGTGTTTGCAGAAATAAACTCATCCATCAAAAAAAGCTAAGCAGAATGTGTTCAGTAAAAGAGAATAAAGCTCTTCACATCTCATCATTCACCTCTGTTCATCTATGTGAAAACAAGGCTTGTGAAATATTGCTAACATCAACAAGACACTCAAATGTTGGTCATTCATCCCAACTAAATCAGTACAGTATTTTCACAAATTTTTCAAAAAACACGAAAGCATCAATGTAGAAAAACTTTGTTGTCTATGGACCTGTCTCATCTCCTTGACTTTCTAAAATGCTCTTCCCTCTCCTGCTTAACAGATTGGTCTATATTTGTGTATCAGAACTTTAAACAAAATGACACATTTATTTTTAGTGTTTACTGCAAATCTGTCTCAAGAGGTGCATCCGTGACATAATGGCTAATCATCTTTACTTTACATTTGCTCAGTTTGATGCTCAAATTTATCAAAATAGGCCCCGTTCTTTATTTTTATGTTCTCAAAGTTACTAAAATTAATTGACAAGAGTTGCTGCTAATAGATCTGTAGTATCTGTCATAATTGTAACAAAACCTAAATAAATGGTTCATGAGTTCATGCTGAGGTAGTTGAACTATTTCTCCTACTTTTTTTACTTGGGAACATCTTTTTAGCAGAATAAGAATCAGGCTAGCAAACATCTCACCAATACAAACAGCACAACATATTAATTTGTAGCTTTTTCAATAATGCTTCTAGGGACATAAATTATATTTTCAGTCCAGAAAGAGACAAGATATGGTTGCATATCATTTCTATATGACACACAGCAACTCTAATGAAAGTATCTGTATATATTTCACTACCACTGTAGAACATCCAAATGACAATGGCTAAAAAAATATCCTGCCCTTAATTAGAAGACTTGCCTGATCTAAAAACAGCAAACAGACATTTTCACTCTTCCCAAATCAAAAGCCCATTTTTTGTTTTGTATATGCCTTGCTATATTTAATAGATGCATCCTAAACATTTGAGTAAATAAAATATATACAGAGCTGAAGATATTTATACTATTCTAGACAACTAATAGTCCTCTGAATTTTACACATTACAATTCTTTCCTGGATGAAATAGGTTAAAACAATTATTATATGCTTTTTGAACATTCAAACTGATAATGGAAATTATGCTTTCCATGGAAACAATGATTACTAAGAGGGTGCTTAAAATGGATGTGATATTCAGTAATGGTCATCACTGCAATTGAGAAATTAAATTCTAGGATTTTTAATTATTATGATTTTCCCGTATCTGTACTGAAGCTATTTGGTCAAACATTTTGTGCTGTATCTATCAGTAATGGGTAAAGAACATTTTAATATAAAATTGCAGGTATTCCTTTGTTTTAAAAAAAATCTTACAGCTGTCACTGTAGCTGGAATACTGAAATCTGAACACTCTTACAGATTTCCTTACAGATTATGAAATCAAAACTTGAACCTTAGAAAATGGGCTCTCACTCTCACTCCCTTAAAGCTGCATTCCCTTTAAACAAGATCGTTTTGCCTTCAACTTCCACCTATAGAATAATGAAAAATAAGGAAAAGCTCCATTTCTATTAATGTTTGTCTCAGGTCACAAATGGAAATAATTAAAAGGACTCTTTCAGGAGTGCAGTCCCTCTAAACCCAAAATGTCACAATGTGCCTTACAGTGCTGCTCCAGCTCAGGCATCTATCAACATCTATCACTCAAGCAAGCACCTCAACAGCTCTGCTCCCTTTTCTGATTAGAGATCAGAGTTGCTTGAGTTGGTTTACAGGGTGTCATCTGTTTGAATGACAGATGTCTGTGTTGGAGTGCCACTCTAGCTGCTTTGTTTTGATTGTGAAAGGTTACACTTATCTGGCACAATTCAGAATATTCAAAAATAAATAAAAATTGAAAAGGTAATTTCTCGTTCCACGGAGTTGAGAAGAAATATTTAATTTCTAATTTAAATTCCAAAAACCTTAGCTCTACATGCAATACCATTGCTAGTCTTTGTTTATTCAGTACAAAGTGTTTTCTATGAGAATGTTTAGTTTATCTTCAGTCAGTTTTATTTTTACCATTTAAAATTATAACTTTACGGTTTAATCCAGCCTCAAAAGAGCTGGTAGCATGTGAGACACACCAGCACCTGATGCAATAAATGTTAATTAAGTACTTGAAGAAAATGATCCCCATCTCTTATTTTACATTAGAGTCCATGGATCTGAAAAAAAGACAAAACATCTGCAACTTGCATAAAATATGTTCGTTGTTAACAAAAGTTTTCAGGACTGATGCTGTCATTCTGGTGACCAGTTGCAAAGGGAGCAGAGGGCTGTATGCTTGCATGCTCCAAGCTACTCCTTCCTACTTACAAGAAAATTGAGCGAACAGAAAAAAAAAAAAAGAACAGGGGGAGATTGCTCTTCCGGACAACATGGTAGCAGTGAAATGAAATACCTAGACAGACTTACCGAAGAGCTTGCTGGGAGTGTCCTCGCTGTCATTTGATTCCACAGGCGCAAGCAAGGGCTCATTCAGCTCGTTGTCTGAAGTAGCTGCCTTGTCCTCACCTCTCAACTCTGCATTCATTTCACTCCGCAGTGACAGCAAGGGCTTACTGACTTGTCCAGCTATCATTGGATCCTAGGATGGGGGAAAAAAAAGAGTGAGGGGGAAAAAAAAGTGGCAGCTTTGGTGTACGTGTACTGTCTCTCCCTCTCTTACACACACACACACACACATACACTCTCTCTCTCTCTCTCTCTCTCTCTCTCTCTCTCTCTCTCTCTCTCTCTCTCTCTTATCTCTGGCTGCTCCTGCTGTTATTGCTGGCTGCAGTCAAGTGAAGAGCTATTACAGATCCAATGAGTTTTCCATTACTCCCCACCCTATTAAAGCTCAACTAGCATGTGAGAGATTCAGGATGCTTTGGAGAAAAACTTCTAAGGAAGCAACATAACCAACACAGCTTTAATTGTGGGATGTGCTTTTTGTGTGTGTATGTCACCCTGTCCTTAACATAGTAAGAAAAGAAATTCCTATATGCTCCAATGCTATGGAAGTGGAGCACCCTGTGAGGGCTCCATAGTGATTTAAAGAAGCATCCTCAGCTGTACAACATTAACAAAACCAAAACCACAGTTTTTAGTATTCCACCATATCTACGAAAATACACAGCATAAAATAGCCATTTCATTACATACATTCAACAGAGTGACAGATTTCTAACTATTCCTGTCTCTGGGATACTATAGTCCAAAAGTCCATAAACACACAAACACATTTTTCTTTTGAAAATAAAAACCACACAAAACATTTTCTAAAAGATAAAATCAGGGAAGATACTTACACATACAGTTAGCAATTATTCTTGTGTTTGCGACATCATATCCCCCATAAAACATTACACATACATATATACATTTAAGTTTTTTCTTGATGATTTGAATTTGTTTTATCTTCTGCTCGTTGAGGACGTTTGGGGGTCAGGCATTATTTCCAAGCACACTCAATTATTCCGTTTGTAAACTAATAAGCATAATATCATGACAGTATGGAAAGCAGAGTAAAAAAAAACTGAAAAAAAGAAAAAGAACAAGTGACCTTGTTGCTCTCTCTAGCAGCTATTTATTGCAAAGTTCATGCCTAAATGGTTCTTATGCAGAGGACAGGTGACCAGCGAGCAAATAGGTTGGCTAGCATGTTCCCTCTGTCCCGTCCTCACATTGGTCGATGTTTGCCTATGGGTTTTTTAATGTATTCATGTCTGAAAAGTGAATTTGATATGACACATGATAATCTATGAAAATGTTAATCAATACAAATAGTTTAAGCTGTCATCAAATGCACTTCTTTAGTCAATACTCATATTGCCGAAAACAATGTCACTGTCACCAGGACTTAATTTGCACAGCACTTAAATATTGGACTCTGTGCATCAATGCACTTCTCTTCAAATACTGTAGGTAAACACATTTTCTCCCTATTTAAGGCTGAAGCACTCAGCACACATTTAGTTGAGCCGAATCCTCCCCTTTGAATACCTTGATAGGTCCACTGGAGGGCAAAATTAATACTTAATTGAATCTCACAGTCATCAAAATAATCAATACTTTTTTATTATTTATTCTTTACAGTCTGTTGACTGTTTCAAACCTCTGAGGGAATGGTGGAAAGGATTCATGGCTTTGAAACACTGTCATTTAACAAGGTAATTTTCAGTGGGGCATTAGGGGTTGTGAAACATATAATAAAACAAAAATGGTGGCTTATAATGGGAAGAAAGAAAAGAATTATATTTCTGCCATCTAACAAAACAGGATAAATAAAAAAAGCAAGTGCGAGCAGGAGAGGGAGAAAGGAGGGGGAGAGGGAGAGAAAGACTGGCTTTTGAAGGGTTTTATCATATCAAGAGCAGAGCTGAGCTTTCATAATGCTGACATTTCTCATTCTGACAATCCTAAACAAGTGGAAAGGATGAGATCGCAGATATCATCTTTCATCACATTCCCCAGCTTAAGAACCAACATGACAGCTTCTCTCCCCTTTACACTGTTAATTACTAAATAAAATACTGCTCTCTGTCAGCATTAGATTATTGCAGATAGCAACCACAAACATTACTCCGTTGTTTTGTTTTGCCTTTTTTTTTAAAACCCGTGATACCTGCCTTGAACTCTTCAGAAAATAAATTAGGCTTGTGTCTACATATTGTAAATATATGAAACATAATCAATTTAATCAATGTGGTCAATCCATGTTATTGTCAGGCTAAATTGCTGGTGATTTATTAACATTTCATTTACTGTATTTATTAGGTAGCAACAATCTGAACATTTCTTAGATGTTTCTGGAGAGGAAACAGAAGTCAACAGATTTGTTCTGCAGACACTGTAAAAAAACTCTGACTTGTTTTCCCTCATACTCATACTGCACTGTGGACAGTCATTTACTGAGGCAGAAACATATGTGTGTTTACTTTCGTATACTAAATAATGTATTTTAGTAGATTTTGCAGTTAAAGGTCATTGTGAACACAAACAGCACTGTTTCAAAGTCTGTGCTGCTGCTCTCAGTTTCAGCTATTCAAAACTAACATCAAGATTTGATACTAACCTCCATAACAATTGTGAATCCAGAAAAAATATGACCCTTTTCATCAAAGTAGTTTGGGGAGGGAACTAATCCTGTCCGCACAGCTATACTCCTAATCTGAGGACTAACGGCAATTTAATAGTGGATTCTTACATCAGTAGGATTCTAGATTAAGTCTAAATTGCCAAATTCTGAAGTTAAATATACAAAAAATGGAAGGAATAAAAATGTAGGAAATGTGACAGCACTGGGAGAAACTTCAGCCCTTAGATATACAGCAACTTCAGTGGGGCTAAGATTTTACTTGTTATATATATCAATAATTTGACCTCATCTGGAGTACTTTGTTCATTTCTGGTTAGTCCATCTCAGAAAGATACATCAGAAAAAGGTGCAGTAAGATTGATAAACTGATGGAAAAGATTGTGAGGGTTTACAGAAAAGTGTGACTAAGAACGAGCACGGTCAAAGGATAAAAGATGGCGGGGAGAAAATGTAGATCAGGAACTATTTACCCTACCTCATGTGAGGACAAAAGATGTCTCCACTGAAATGGGAAAAAGTCATAAATCTAATAAAAATAAATGATACTTTTCCAAAAAGTAAGTGGTGGAAAACCTGTGGAACTTGCTGGTGCAAGGTATCACTGAGACCCACACCACAGTAAACATCAACATAGTCAGTCTTATGGTTGGACAGACTCTTAGCAGTGAATTTAAAAGAGCTTTGCAAACACAGTGGCAAGGACTATAAAAACTGAAATAACACAAACTGCTGCCGCCTCCCTCAGACAGTATCAGAACCTGTAGTTAACCCCTGGGGTAGCTCTCTCTGTCAGGTGGTAAATGAACAATGACTTTCTCTATAAGCAGACGGATTAGATACTGCCAAAATTTTTAGTCTACATGAAGACTAAATAAATCGCTTAAATGATGGGTTAAGGGAAGGTTTGTTTCCTTGAAAAACTTACTCTAAAATGGACATTTTTAAACTTCAGATTATCTCCAGACCTTCAATTGCTTTCTGTGCCTGTTCTGCAGTGAATTATGTATGATTAAAAACTATTGCTTTTATAAAACATATAATAAATTGTAATTCCAGTGTACAGTAAGTGGCCTAGTCTGCAAAATCCCTTGGTGAACGAAGGGATTGTTCCTATATTTCCCAATGGCCTCCCCAGAAAAAAATCCTAGAGTAATTACTGTGACTGCTGCAGGCCCAGCAGTCTTCTCCTCCCCTTCTGCCCTCCTACAAGTCCATTCCAGAGAGGACCCACAACACTGGAGTGGATACATTGAGGCAAGGAATTGTGTACACATCTTTTGTCAGGATCTGTTCTCCTGAACTAGATGTCTGTGGGCTTGATGCTCAGCATTTGCTTTTTGGAAGGTGTTATAGGTCAGATTACACTTTGCAGTGTAACACAGGTCCTTCCACCGACTGACAGCCACACAAAAGTTTAAGCTTTTCATATGCAAAGCAGAAAAGTCTAAGAATGCATAAAACCAGCAAGGTGAACTTTGTAAAAAGGGTTAATATGCTTTAAGTAAGAGGCATGGGAACATAACAGGGATATAATGCTTCAGAATTTCGAAGTTCTGGTTATGAGAGAACTAAGGAATTGCAATCCCCTTATTCAAATATACCTGTATATACCAGACACGTACTGACAAATTTTGCACACATCTCTTGCAGATACTCATATAAGTTGTCATCTATTTCTTGTCCAACTAGCACTGGTATTTCCAGACTTGCCTGTTTTCTATGAGATTTCCCTGACAGCTTTGTGCTGCAAGTGGTCCTCCCTGCTGTGTATCTCCCTTAAGGGTGGCTTATACCTTCTGTAATTCAGTTGCATCTGCTACGCTACTGCTCAGATCTACCACTCCCTTGTGACTTAAACTGGTTGTTGGGCTTAATTTAATAGTAAAAATCATGTAGATTTGCAAATGCAAATTACAGTTCTAGTAACACGCCCTCTTTTAAAAGCCAAAACTTTTACTTTTTTCTTATCTGCAGTGCTGTAGGAAGTACAGAAGAACATTTACCACCATGTTAAAAGCTTTGCCTTTGCACTTTAAGGGTAAAGGTGCAGTTTCTAAGCAAAACTATTTAGTAATCAAAGAGCTTTTAGAGGAAACTGTATGGGTTTTGTGTCAAACATGCCCTAGGCAGAAGCCTAAAAATAAGAGAACAAATTGCTTTTTTCCTTAATGCAGGATTTGAGTGATAATAGAGCTTTATAATATACTGATTTAGCCACTGGTCTAAATTTTGTACTTACTGCACCATAAACATTGTTGCTCTGAATGTAATTACTTTTTAAATTTTAGTTCAGAGAAAAAGTAAAATCCTCTGGTTTGCTTTTTATTTTGCCCTTAGTTTGAAGTTACTTTACATGGACTTTTTTTTTTCCTAGCTTAGAAGTACTTGAAATCAATTTTCTGATTTTCTTCAAAATATGAAATAAATCCTGTTTCTTCCCTTCCTCCCATGTCCCTCCCTCCCCTCCCACACCCCAATCCCAATCTTGTGCAGACTTCTGTTTG